ATAACATCAGAATTGTGGGTTGGTTACATGACAGATGCAAACTGGTTCTGATGTTAACAGATGCAAACTAGTTCTGATAGACATGGTTATTAATAGTCAAGGTTCTGATAGACATGATAATTATTATTATTTTTGATTAATAGACATGTCTATCAGAACCAGGTTGCATTGTTCTGATATTCAAGGTTCTGATAGACATGATAAGCAATTCAGTTAGATTTAGATGTGTAATATTCAAGGTTGATTTAAATATTCAAGGTCTAATAATAACCATTGTTTTGGACTTAAATTTATAGAATTCATAGCTTAGAAAAAATTCATCAGTCATAGATGAATAAAGCACAGATTCTCAAAGCTATGAATTAAGCATAGATGAACAAAGCATTCTCAAAGCATAGATGAATTAAGCATTACAAAGCATAGGTCAAATTCTAAAAGCCCTTATTTTTCAAAACCCAAATCTCTAATTCTGAAATTCCTAATTTTTCTAAAGACCCTAATCCCTAATTCTGAAATTCCTACTTTTTCTAGTTACATGACAGATGCAAACTGGTTCTGATGTTAACAGATGCAAACTGGTTCTGATAGACATGGTTATTAATATTCAAGGTTCTGATAGACATGATAGTTATTATTATTTTTGATTGATAGACATGTCTATCAGAACCAATTTGCATTGTTCTGATATTCAAGGTTCTGATAGATATGATAAACAATTCAGTTAGATTTAGATGTGTAATATTCAAGGTCTAATAATAACCATTGTTTTGGACTTAAAATTTATAGAATTCATAGCTTAGAAAAAATTCATCAGTCATAGATGAACAAAGCACAGATTCTCAAAGCTATGAATCAAGCATAGATGAACAAAGCATTCTCAAAGCATAGATGAATTAAGCATTACAAAGCATAGGTCAAATTCTAAAAGCCCTTATTTTTCAAAACCCAAATCTCTAATTCTGAAATTCCTAATTTTTCTAAAGACCCTAATCCCTAATTCTGAAATTCCTACTTTTTCTAAAAGCCCTAATCCCTAATTTTTCAAAACCCAAAATTCCTAATTTTTCAAAACCCAAATCCCTAATTTTTCCTAAAAGCCCTAATTTTGAAATTATAAAATCCCTAATTCCGAAAGCCCTAACTTGTCCATATCAATTCCAAACCCAAATCTCAATCTCAATCTTAGACGTTCGAAGACCAACATGGTTCGTCAAGAATATCTTTGCTCAGCCGATGGTGCTCAACCGATGGTGGTTAGTCGCGGTGGTTTACGAACCATAAGCGGTGGAGCTCTGGTCATCGCAGAGTTACGACTGGGTTCGTCGTCTGGGTCGCCGTCGGGACTGGTCGCCGGTTCGCCGGTGAGGGTGGGTTCGGTGGACGAGCGGCTGAGTGAAACAGACACTGTATGTGAACTCGTGAATGTATAGCCTATAAGCTGTGTTTTTGTTTTGGGCGGGACATCGACGAAATTTCATTTTTGATTTTTTTTTTATTTATAATCTCAGCCGTTAGATGACCAACGGCTCATCTGAGCCGTTGCAAGCAGGGAATGGAGGACCCTCCTCAAGGAGAGGATCCGAACTCCATTAAAAAGGCACACATGCCAGCTGGCATTAGGGTAGCCTCTTTAGTAAAATAAATAAAAAATAACAACTTATTAACTGAAATTCAAGTTTATCTGATATTCTCACTTAATTAAAAACTGCAATTTTAATTTTAAAAAAATAAAAAGTTAAAAGGTTACTAGACATTCACGTTTTTCTATATAATTAAAAAAGTTATTTACAATTATATATTAACATTTTTTATCTCTTAAAAAAAATTAAAAAGTCGTTAAAAAATTAAATCTTAAATCACATCTTAACAAAAGTGAATCAATATATTTTATTGATAAAATTTTTCATCTAAAAAATACTGTGTAATATTTTAAAATTATTAAATAATTATCCAACTAAATATTAAAAAAATATTGGAACTACCAGCAAGCACTTTGCTTTGGTGCTGTTTGGTGTAGCTATTAAAACAGATTATAGATTATAACTTAACAGATTATAGATTATGACTTTAATCAGAAGCTGTTAATCTGTTTGGTATAGTTGTCGGATTATAGATTTAAGTTGTTGAGTAGTGTTTGTTAAATAAGCTGTGAAGTAGGTTTTTCAATTAATTTTTATTTTTTATTATTCACTATTTATCTACATTTTTCATAAAAAATAATAATAATATTTAATAGTTCATTTGAGTCTTTTTCTATTTTTAAAAAAATAAAAAATAAAAAAATCTAAGAGTATAACCGTGAATTAGCATGTCCACAGCAGAAGATGAAAATCAGAAGTAAGGGGTGAGCAGCTTCTCAGAATCAACTTTTTTGACTTAAAATAAATTATTAGAATCAGAAACTGTTTAAAATAAGTTTAACCAAATAATCCAAAATAACTTTTTAAAAGATAAAAATCATAAGTTGGCTTAAAAAAATTTCACCAAACGCCCCCTTTGTCCCGCGAGAGGACTCAAAAGGCACAAGAGATTGGCTGATGAGATTTTTTGAACACTAATTTATCAACGATATTTATTTTATTATTATAATATAAAGTGTACAGTACTATTATTCATATGACACTGTCAGAATTGTGTTTTATGTAATTATTTTTATTGAAAAATTACGGATCAATGGTATGGTAGTTACAAAAAAATAAAAATAAATAAGGATTTATAAATATATATATATATATATATTTTAAGGATTTATAAAAAAATATATTTTTTTTTAATTATCAATATTTATAAAATTTATTACTTATTTGTAATTACTTTTCAAAATCACCCTAGTGAAATTTCCTATACTGCCAAAAAATCCCTCTCACATCTAATTATTTAAAAAACAATAATTATTTATCTAATCACTTCACACATATAATTTAAAAAACCAAATAATGAAGACCCAAAAAATTATTATATAATCCAAATTTAACTCATATATTGTGAGCTCATATATGAAATAAATTGAATTGCAAAATAATTTTCTTAAGATACTTCTATGAGAAAAATGACATACAAATTCACTTTTTAGACTCATCTTTTAGACTTTAGTAATGTGTCAACAAAATAATTGGTTGATTATTAGAGAATAAATAAGAGAGATGACTTAGGGTTCGTTTGGAAAGTGGGTTGACTTTTTGACTTTTTGGCTATTTTAGCATGGGGCTAAAAAGTCTTGTTTTGGAAGGATTTTTTGATTTTTTTAACTTTTTGTAAGAGAAAGAATATAATAATTATGGGTTAGATGTGATTTTTTGTCATATTAGGTTAAAAAATTTATTTTGTCTTTTTGTGACTAAAATGTTGACTTTTTGGCTATTTTAGCATGGGGCTAAAAAGTCTTGTTTTGGAAGGATTTTTTGATTTTTTTAACTTTTTGTAAGAGAAAGAATATAATAATTATGAGTTGGATGTGATTTTTTGTCATATTAGGTTAAAAAATTTATTTTGTCTTTTTGTGACTAAAATAGCTACAAACCCAACCCAACCCAACCCAACCCATCTTCCCAAATAGAGGCTTAGATAATTTGGGGGTGTTTGGGAAGTTGGCTTTAAGAGTAATGATATACATCTCTATTTTTTTTTTTTAAACGATATATATCTCTAATTTGAGAGCTCTAAGTGAAACTCTAGTCAAGTGGAAGAGAGAGAAAGTAAAGAGAGGAGCGTGGGACCGACCTTCACATGGGTACTCTCCACATCTTTAGAGTTGCATTAGAGTTTTCAAATTAGAGCTCTCAACAATTATTGTAAGCTAAAATAACCAATAAAAATAAAATATACTAAAATAACTAATAAATCAAAATATGACATCAAAGTCATAATCATTTCACTTTTTCTCTCACAACTGTCAAATCAACTATAAAAAAAACAATAATACTAGGTATCATGAAAAATCTTTCATAAAAATCATCATGAAAGATTTGTGACCTTTAGATTACACTTGCAATAAAGCACCTCACACTAATCAAGGTAATCTAAGAATCATAAATCTTTCATGATCATTTTTATGAAAAAATTTTCATGATCCCTAACATTTCTCAAAAAAAAAAAAGGACAACTATCATCTCAAACACAACTTTTTTAGCCAAGTTAAAAAAGTTAAAAAGTCAACTAAAATAGTCTATTCTCAAACGGAGCCAACTTGCCACATTATTAAATATAAAAAATAAGTCTAATTTTTAGAACTGAACAACAATCACTGTGTTTGGTTTCAATTTTCTGGAAATTGAATTTTTTTTTCAATTTTTTTTGTTTTTAGTGAATAGTTTTAAAATTTTAAACAATTTTTTTAGATGCACCTTATTTACATATATTCAAAAAGTAAAATATTTGTAAGAAAATATTTTAAAAAATAATAAATATACAAGAATACAAAAATGTATTGAATTTTCATATTTTTTTTATATTTTTGGTAATTAGTGAATTTTTTTAAAAAAAAATTCATAAATATTATGCTTTTTAAATATATTTATGTTAAGTGTATCTAAAAATTAAAAAAATATATATATCAAAAATATTTTAAAAATTCAATGAATATAGAAAAATATGAAAAATAATTTAACTTTTTAAAAATAAATCCTGAAAAGTAAACCAAACCAGCTTAATGCTCTTTATGAATGACTTCGAGCAAGGATCCTCTAAAAAAAAATTTTCCTAAAGTTTCATAGAGTGGTGCATTGTGTGGTTAAGATTTAATGACAAGTCATATCAATTTTTTAATATTAAATCTCAATCATATAATACACTACTTTAAAAAATTTAAAAAAAAATATACTCTAGAAGATACTTGCTAAATGACTTCAGTGTACTCCACACGGTTCTAATACTAAAATAAAAAATGTAAACAAGACACGTGATACTTGGTAGTGATCAATTAATCCACTTGTGAACCCTATGGCGCACTCAAACATCCCTTCTTCCTCTCCACTCTATATAAACCCCCCAGCACCCCCACCCTCTCCCCACCTATTTACACACCTTCCATCTCACGCCACCACCACTTCAAAATCAGCAAAACCACCTAAACCACAACCTCACTTCTCTCCCTCCCTTCCTCCTCCATTGCAACCCATCAAAACTCTTCACAAAATATTTATCGATACAATATACTAAACAACATAGTTCGCGTCAGATGGGCAACGCCGACTACGTGCATTCGACGACAACAAATGTCGTCGAAAGTGCGCACCGCGTGGCGGTCCCACCGCCACAACCTTTTTTGAAGTCGCTGACGTCGTCCTTGAAAGAGACCTTTTTTCCGGACGACCCACTGCGGCAGTTTAAGAACAAGCCACCGTCGAGGAAGCTCGTCTTGGGCCTTCAGTACTTCATGCCGATACTGGAGTGGGGTCCGCGTTACAGTCTCGAGTTCTTGAAAGCCGACTTGATTGCTGGGATCACCATAGCTAGCCTCGCCATCCCTCAGGGGATTAGCTATGCAAAGCTTGCTAATTTGCCTCCAATTCTTGGCCTTTGTGAGTGTTTGCTAAATAAAAAATAATAAATAAAGTTGTAGTTAAATGCTAAGCAGTTAGAAAATTTATTACGAAAAAATGTAGATTTATTCTAAGTGTGAATTGCATATTATAAAAATAAATTTGAATCACACATCATCTTTTGAATTATACTTTTTTTTTGACAACTTTTTGGTTATTATATTTTTTGTTTAAGTCATATTTACGGTTATTTTTTAGCTTTTGAACTAAAATATAAGTAGTAAAAAATTAATATATTCAAAAAAAATTTAAAAGTTATTTATATAAAAACGTACAAAAAAAAATAAAAATAGAATGAATGAAATTTAATTTTTTGTTTTGTTAAAAATTTATTGACTTTTTTACTTTTTTTTTATTGAGTTTTTGTCACTTTGACTAAAATTTGCAATTGCTAAATGAGGCTTTACGTGCATAAATTCTATGCACATAAATTTTATAGTTAAAAGTGTTATATCTAGTTCTTCTATTTTATTTCTTTTGTTGATTTAGTATTTATAGTTCTAATTACATTAATTTTACTCTTCAACTAAAAAATTATTAATTAAATTGATACAAGAAACAAATTACGGCAACCAGTATAATTTGTCCTTTACGAGGCATTTTTTGGTTCAAGTCTAAAGTGATTATTATTGATGGGTTTTTTGTGTTGGAACATGCAGATTCGAGCTTTGTACCACCTTTGGTATATGCAGTGATGGGAAGTTCGAGAGATTTGGCAGTTGGGACAGTTGCAGTTGCATCCCTACTCACAGCTTCAATGTTGGGTGATGAAGTCAATGCTAAAGAAAATCCAACACTTTATCTTCATCTCGCTTTCACTGCTACATTCTTCGCTGGAGCCTTTCAAGCTTCTTTGGGTATCTTAAGGTTTGTATATCTCTCACATCATAATACAACAGTCAACAACTACATGAATCAATTCATTACCTAACATAAACTCCAAGTGACTTAAAAAAATAAAAATAAAATAAAATAAAATATAATAAAAAAAGGTAATGAAAGGTAAAACCTCTTAATCACTGACTTCTTCCTTTTTGAAACAATTCTCCGCACCAACACCATAATACAACAGTCAACAATTACATGAATGGCCATTCAGTGTATGACACTTATATTCTTATCTCTCGAATTTAATGTACAAGTATTTTTTCTTACTATTTTAACTAATAAAATACTAGTTAAGACAGTCTTCATACATGTCCTAAAATACTCAATTATTTTTCGCTTGCGTTTACTTGGTTTAGCAGTAATAAGTAGTACAAGAGGCACTAAATTGGTAGTAATGTTTTGTCTTAATTGTTACAACGTGACAGGAAAGGCTTGTGTTAACAATTTTGTTTGCTCTTTCTCTCTCATGTAACTTTTGGTCCAATAATGCTATGGTGAGTCAGTCACCACATTTTTTTAATATTATATTTTGTTTTTAGGAAATTACACTCCAATAGAGGATTGAAAAATTATTTTCAGATTAATGATAAATATTATAAATATTAAAAGATAAAATTATAAAAAAATTTCATAGCTTTTTAATTCATTTATGAAAATTATATAATTTTCCAATTTTTCATTATTATTTATGTTGATTTAATGAGTGTCACTCTCTATTATTTGTTATTGACACCTAAAATAATAAATAAAATATAGTAAAAGAATTTTCATTACATTTATATATTATTATGAAATCCCTCCAAGGAAGGGACTAGTAACTATATAGGAGATTTGGATTTGCTAATTGAATCTCATAAGATTAGAAGTGAAATGACTTTATTACTCCTATTTTACAAAATAAATAAATAAATTTTATTTTTATATAATGAGAACCAGCTAATACCACCAAGCTAGTACATAAATAAAGATAATTTATTTTACATTTTTAATATAATATCATCATACTAATAATCTTCTCCTTTAATCTTATCTTACTTATAATCTCATCCAAATATTGTCCTCGCATTATTGTTGTGATTTTTGTCTTTGTTGCATGATTACTATCACGAGAAATAGCCTTCGCAATGGAACTTCTTTCGTAACCATGTTTTAGGGACTTTTGATTGCAGCAATATTAGGTATCATGAAAATTTTGTCATGAAAATAATCATGAAAGCTTGGTGACCCTTGGATTACACTTAGAATAAAACACCACACATTAATCAAGGTAATCCAAGGATCATAAATTTTTCATGATCATTTTCATGACAAAATTTTCATGATACCTAACTTTTTCCCTTTTGATTGACCAAAAGTCTTTAAAAATTGCAGTCAGATATCAGCAAAAGTATAAAACTTATCCCCCTTTTTTTTATTTATTTATTTTTTCCTGAGACATGCGGCCTTATTTGGTTTGTTTACTGGGAGATAATTTTTGAGAAAAAAAATTAAAAATTTATTTGATTGAAATTTTAAAAGAAAAAAATTTAAAATCATTTTTTTCTCTATTATATATCAATCAATCATTTTTTCTTTTACACCCATCTATTTAACTATAAAAAAAAATTAAATTAAATTATTACAAATTCCAAAACTATTTTCAAAACATACAATCAAATAAATTTTCAAATTTTATAAATTCTTTCCAAAAATTATTTTTTGAAATTGTTTCATAAATACAAACCAAACATAAGCGAAGTTTCTAAAAAAAAAAAAATTAACAGTTTGTGTGTGTGTTTGGTTTTGTTGCAGGTTAGGGTTTATAGTGGATTTTCTATCACATGCAACAATAGTGGGATTCATGGCAGGAGCAGCAACAGTGGTATGCCTGCAACAGCTGAAAGGGATTCTAGGGTTAGAGCATTTTACCCATGGCACCGATCTTGTCTCTGTTATGCGTTCTGTCTTCACCCAAACTCATAAGGTCTCTCTCTCTCTCTCTCTTCTCTCTCTCTCACATTTGTGTGGAAATATACGTGACATTGACATACATTCATATTAAAAAGCTAACACTATATTTGGGTACTACAATTGTAATTTTTTGAATTGAATTTTCATATTTATTATTGGGAATTAAAATAATACAAATGTTACTTACTTTGGAGGATTAGAAAAGTATTGGGCACCAACCTAGTTGGGATTTATATTTCGAGCTATGATGCATCTTCCCAACTTTGTTTATGTAACATTTCTTTTGTTCAATAAAATTTTCTTTTACTGATGAAAAAAAGGCCTCACTAAATCAAATTAAGGTTTTAGGCACAAAAAAAATTAGTGACAAAATTACTTTTAGCGGCAAAATTGAACATTTAGTGATGAATTATTATTTTTTTTAAAAAAAAAAACAAAAAATTTGTTTCAAAAAATAAACATTTTTTAGATCAAATTATTTTGTCCCTAAAAGTATATTTATTAGTAACATTTTCCAAACTTTGTTGCTAAAAGTCTTTTTTTAAAACTTTTCGAATTAATTTTTTAGCGACGGTTCTCGTGATAACAAGAATTGATTTTTAAAATTCTTATTTGTTGTAGTACCTATAAAAAAAATATTTATGTATAGGTTTAGCATCACAAACATAACAAGAAAAGAGAGAGTTATACATGAAAAATGTTCAATATTGTTTATTTATTTATTTATTTTGATCTGCCAATATTGTTTATGTTTTTGGGTTTAATTGCAGTGGAGATGGGAAAGTGCTGTGTTGGGATGCTGTTTCCTTTTCTTCTTACTCCTGGCTAGATTCTTTGTAAGTAGTCCCAAGCAACCCATACCTTGCTTTTTACATGTCTCTTTTAATTTAAAACTAATCAATATTCTTCAAATCCATGTCATCACCCAAATTCAATAAGAAAGAAAATATCCATACATAATTTTTATACAAATTTAAAATCATAATAATGTGATAATTATATTCTTATAATTATAAATCATGAATATTTTGACTTTCAATAAAATTATAAATAAAATACATAATTATAAATTTTTTATACATAAATTCTATCTATATATAGCATCACTCATTCAACAATAAGTCAAATGGGTTCTTCAAGAAGTGGCTATTATTGAACTTTCAATGTTAAAAAATTCACAGCAATAAATGGTTGTTGGCCTCAATAATTGTATCAGTTGTTACTTTTCTAAAATTTCCCCAACAGTACTCATTTTCAACCCTAACCTGCTCCCACTCCTAAAGTGAAGCAAAATAAGTGAAAGATGCTGAGACTTTCTCACTACTACATGCTGTTTGTTTGCTGGAGTTGATCAAGGAAAGAAATTGAAAAGAATTTGTAGACAATGACTGCTTTCTTGTAGCATTTGACTAGCTTCATTTTTCTTCTCTTATTGAGTTAAACAAAATTAATACTACTAAACTATATGTACTTATAGTCAAATTGGGTAGAGTTGAGCACAAGTGCATAGCTTGTGCAAATATTATATGAATTGGGTAGGCCATGAAATTTAAACATAAAATCTCTTCTAATGATAAATTATTGAGAGGCTGTTGTTGCTATTTGCTGGGTGGAATTCCTAGTGCTAATAGCTGTTTTGTCATTGGCTGAGATGGTGTTTGTCTTTTGTTTCTTGTTTCCTCTTTTGCTTTGCACTGTATGTTGGTTTCTCACCAATATGGAATTTGGAGCATGTGCTAGCAGATGATTTGATATTCATCTTGGTGCCAACTTCGTTGGGATCTTAATGATTTACTGTGATACTTTTTGCACTCTCTTCTTTGTTGATATATTTCGTCATACTTCGTTTGTTTTCATCAATAAAGTTTTTCTTTGATTGATCCAAAAAAAAAAAAAAATTTATCAGATTGGATTGGTATGGTTTGAGCTGGTGGGTGCATCAAAGACCTTATTTTGATACTCTAAATTGTCTATTTTATAATTATTTGTATGTAAATCATTTGCAAAAAGAAAATTTTAAATTGAACCAATAATTATAACAACTCAATCTCATCATATGTGTTCAAAATGATATGTGATTATGATTATTGAATTAATTTAATTAAAATTTTATTTTTACAAAAGATTTATAATTCACAAAATAAATTGTTTAAATTATTGAAACAAAACTCATATCAAGCCATGGCTTGAACTTGTTTCTTTGGAAGCTAATATGAGTTGTTTTCATAGCAGAATTATTGATGTTTTTGAGGATATATATATATATGTGCAGAACAAGAGAAGACCAAAGTTGTTTTGGATATCAGCACTAGCTCCATTGACGTTAGTCATATTGGGAAGTCTTCTTGTTTATCTCACCCATGCCGAAAAACATGGTATTCATGTTCAAGTGGTGAGCCCTCCCATCGTAAACTTCCAATCACTCTGTCTATATATATGTAGATACAATTTCAAATGTTTTTTCAAACTTATTTCAAATATGATTAGTATAAACGAGTTGAGTCGGATTCAAATTTAATTTTTGAACTTCATAAAAAAAATAACCGAACCAAGTTCGAATCCGGAAAGCTTATTGGACATATTTGCAGCTTTAGTTGTGTGTTAATAAAATGATACATTGGTCCCGTTTAGTAGAACTGTGAGAAAGTGATTATACCTTATAACTTAATAGCTTATAATTTATAGCTGTGAATATAAACTAATTTTTGACTTATAAATTAAATTTCTCGTCTCTCACTTAAAGAATAAATTACTTTTTGACTTATAAAAAGTTATAAATTATATTATTAAATTAAACTAAATATATCAAAATAATTTAAATTAAATTAAAAATTATAATAAATTAAAAATAAATCCTACCAATCAAGGCATTAACCCGTTCTATAGAAACTAAACCATCCAACAAATTTAAAAATGGGTAGGGCCAAGGAAACTTTTGATGGTAAGAGTATCAGTTGTGCAAATTTTAAATAAAGTTGGTGTAGTTTTCGGAGTAGATATAGATGAGCAATCAACACGAAATCCAAATCCGCATACAATTGTCTCGACTCAACTCTGCAGAGTCTGCAGTGTACTACACTGTGCTGTTTATTTATTTTATTTTTTTCTGTATACAATTACGGCAGTGATTTAGATCTCTTCAAATTTTAATTCCTATCACCCACACACATATGTGATGGATGGAAATTAGAGGAAGAGACAAAAAAAAATAAATAAATAAATAAAAATAACCAATCAAAAAAGAAAGAGAGTCAAAAGAGGGTGGGAGAAAGGTCCCAATTTTTATTCTTACAATTATAGTGGGTGGGTCCCAGAAACTTTCTTGTTCGTATTGGATTTGGGGAAGCAGGCCACATGTATGAACCGACTGTTTTCATTGGTGGGTCCTTTTGAATTTTTTTTATTATTAAAAAAATTCATTATATAAAAATTAATTAGGCTCACTTTTTACATTTATCCTCTTTGAATTGAAATTTATTTTAACCCTTTAAGTTCTATATAATAGTATTGATAACAGCGTTTTTTTGTTTTTTAAGAATCGATATTTTGACAACTTCGTTAAAAGTTAATTTTTAATTTTTTAATTTTTTTAAATCACATTATTTTTTTATTTTTTTACACATTTTAAAAAAAATTAAAAAAATTAAAAAAATCAACTTTTAATCTTTTTCTCAAAACAAGCCATAATATTGACAATATTATATATATTATGTATGGATTTCAGATAGGAGAATTGAAAAAGGGTTTAAACCCTCTGTCAATAACGGATTTGGCATTTGGATCTCAATATCTCCCAATAACCATCAAAATTGGAATAATCACAGGTGTCATCGCTCTCGCTGTAAGCCTCTCTCTCTCTCCCTATAGCTTGCAGTCATATGGTGAAAATTTATTTTGAATTAATAAAATCACATGATAAGGGGATTCATTTTCTTTCTCAGCCATGGCTAGCCAAATAGAAAGTGAAGGGTATTTTAGTAATTTAATATTTTCGAGTAGAGTCCTAACCTAGAGAAAGGGGTGTGTGTGATGTGGTCTGATATAGGAAGGAATAGCAGTGGGAAGAAGCTTTGCAATGTACAAGAATTACCAGATAGATGGGAACAAAGAGATGATTGCTTTTGGGATGATGAACATTGTTGGTTCTTTCACTTCTTGTTACCTCACCACTGGTATTGTTATTATTTCTCATATCTCAATTTATTTATTTCATTTTCAATTTATTTGTTGAACATTACTGATTGTTTTTCTTGTTATCTCTCCTTCAGATATATTTATGTGTATAAATCTTACATGTGTGCCTATGATTAGCTTTTTGATTTTTTTGTTGTTGTTGTTGATTTTTGTCCTTTTTAGTAATTTTCAACCCAAAAAAAAAAAAGACAGCTTTACATTTAGATTCTACTCAACTAGAAAATGCGAAAAAAAATTAAAAATTTGGAGGAAAAAAAAGTGTTTTTTTATTAAATTTTAGATCTTTTAAAATTAGACAGACTAAAAAAGTAAAATTTTGACACAAAATTAAAGAATTATTATTTTTTTAATTAAAAGTGACGTTTTTAAATTGATCACAAACTCACCGAATTTGTAGCATATAGTTTATCATAATCACTGCCAGTGCCAGTGTAAACTTGAAATCATGGCCAGCCCATGGTTGACTACGGCTCACAGGTCTATTCTTGAACAACCCACCAGGGTTGCCTTGAGCCCACAGCGGCCCATGTTATTTTTTTTTCCCTCATTTCTCGGCTTGGCCCAAATCGGGGTGGGGGGAGAGATCTTATTCATTCCCTCAAATTACCCATTTTTATTTTTTATTAAATATTTTAAGACGAATTACATTAATAGTTTCTGTAATTTGAGATTTGTGTCATTTTGATTTCTAACTTTTTAATTGTAATACATTTGATATTAAATTTTGAATCTCGTTTTAAATAAGGATAATTGAAGATATTGTTACTCCATTTCAATGACATAGTTGTCAATTTAATAAAATATAAACTAGTTTGACAAAAATAAATGTCAAAAAATTATTTTTAAATTTTTAAAAATCATTTTTCCTCACCAAAGATAAAGTTAAATAAAAATGATAATTTTTTTATTTTTTTTACGAAATTATTTTTTAGTATGTGTTTGGATAATGATCATGTAATGGGTGGTTGTTTTTGTTGATCTTTTTAAATGGTTATCATGTACTAGATGGTTGTATTTGTTATTAACAGATGTTTTTGGAGGATATCATGTAATGGATGATTATTAGATTTTTAAAGTATAATTGATATGTTTAATATATGAAATATTTTTAGTTTTAAATTTTTTAATTTAATGGATTGGTTTAATAATGATATCAAAGTTGTCGCCATGTTTGATTTTCAAAAAAATAAAAGCTAATTTAACGAAAATAAATATAAAAAAAATATTTAAAAAAATTATTTATACCCTCGCAAAAGATAAAATTATATAAAAATAATGTGATTTTAAAAAAAAAAATTCACCAATTTAATTTTTAGTTTCTTAGAAATTTTTTTGAAAATCAAACCAAGCAGAACTTTATAATCAAAAAAATTTCAACATTATTCATTAAAAAAAAATATCATTATATTTCAAATAACATATAAGTTAACTAATACAAAATAAATTATATGACGACTTTGTCCTTCAAATAGAGTAACAATGTTTTCGATTGTCCTTATTTAGAACAAAATTTCAAATTTAAGGTATTGAAAGGTTAAAGACCAAAATGACACAAGTTCCAAATTATAAGAAGTATAACTCGTCTAATATTTTAAAACAAAACCAATACACTTCAAGAAAACAATACATACACAATTTCTTTCTTTCTTTATTTATTTTTTAAAAAAAGTGCATATAATGTTGTGAGTCTTCATTCATCCTAGAGGGATCAAGCTCCACCAGTACAACATTATTTTTCACTTCAAAAAGACAATCAAATTGGACTGGCCTAATTCATTAGAATCTTTGCACGTTACTATGATTTCAAAAAGTAGAAGTTTTTCTGTAGAAAGTATTACTCCTCCTTAGAATATGTTCTCGAATTAATGTACATAAAAATAAATAAGACAAGGCAAAGGCCCCCAAAGTGGAACATTCATCTTTACTTGGCATCCAAAGCAACCTAAGTCTTAACATTTGGCAGAAGAACAAGGTCCACAAAATGGTCTTTCCAAACTTTGTTGTGTATTTTCATTTTCCAATTTACTTCTTCCCACCAATAACATTTGTTACGTTTGCTACTATAATTTCTGAACAAATGTGTGTTTTTTTTTTTTCAGGGCCATTTTCACGATCAGCAGTAAACTTCAACGCAGGATGTAAAACGGCAGTTTCCAACATTGTGATGGCAATGGCTGTGATGATCACACTTTTGTTTTTAACCCCATTGTTCCATTACACTCCTCTCGTGGTGCTTTCGTCGATTATAATCGTTGCGATGCTCGGACTCATAGACTACGAAGCAGCAATCCATCTCTGGCATGTCGACAAATTCGACTTCACAGTGTGCATGAGTGCATACATCGGTGTTGTTTTTGGCAGCGTTGAAATCGGTCTAGTCATAGCGGTATGAGCCACTCCCAACTCTTTGAAAAACAGAAAAAATTATTTGACAAACTGTTTGTCTTGAAAGAAAACAATGCACAATTAATGACGTGAAAAATGAAAATTTTAAAATAGTACTGATTTTTAAGAAACGATTTTTAAGTTGATCGATATACCTTTAAGAAACAAACAAATTCTAAAACTGAAAACATGAAAAAACGAAAACAGAAGGATGAAAAAACCCACTGTGAAAACATACCAAACATGCCTACATTCGCAAGCTCACTTGAACTAGCTAGGAACCAATTGCGCAATTTAAAGATGTTTTCAATCAACTAAATAACGATTATGGGGTGGAAATGCAGGTTGTGTTATCTGTGGTTAGGGTGTTGTTGTTTGTGACTAGACCAAGGATCTTGGCTCTTGGAAACATCCCAAATTCCATGATCTTCAGAAGTGTTGATCAGTACCCAAATGCAAATCTTGTTCCTGGAATTCTCATCCTAGAGATTAATGCTCCCATTTACTTTGCCAATTCAAGCTACTTAAGAGAAAGGTACTCTACTAAAAAGACTGGATCAAACATAATGAACATCAAAATCTGTGATCTATATTAATGATATTCTGTTTTTAAGGATATCGAGGTGGATAGATGAGGAGGAAGACAAGTTAAAATCCTCTGGTGAAACAAGTTTGCAATATATTATACTTGATATGGGTGGTAAGTAATTCTTGATGCTTTTGAGAAATATTCATTACGTAACTCTTTTTTAGCACATGTCCTCCGTTTCATGTCTTTTTGTTCTTTTTCTTATCATTATTAGATCATGTCTTGAAATTCTCCCATGATATAATAGTAAGAATTTGAAGACAAAAAATCATTAACCCTTGTTTTCATTTAAGAATTATGCTCACTTGAAATAAATATCCGAATTGACAGCCGTTGGTAACATTGATACAAGTGGGATTAGCATGCTCGAGGAACTCAAGAACAGCACGGAGAGAAAAGGACTCAAGGTACATAGTTATTTCTTTGGCACACAAAGCACTAGTGAAATATTCATTTTCGTTTTCTGTTTTTATTTTTTGAAAAACACGAAGAACTTATTTGCCTTGGATTCATTTTCCTTCCTTAATGTGTAGCTCGTATTGGCCAATCCGGGAGGTGAGGTGATGAAGAAGCTAAACAAGTCAAAGATTATCGAGTCGATAGGGCAAGAGTGGATCTACATTACAGTAGGAGAGGCTGTTGGAGCATGCAACTTCATGCTTCATACATTCAAACCAAAACCTATGACTGTCAATGGATCAGAGACATGGAGCGATAATGTCTGAACTACGTACCAATTAACCAAAAACAACGCACCAGAAACAAACGCATATGGCTCGTTGGAACAAAGGGGAAAATGAGTCGTATTAGTAATTTTCTTGCTCGTGCTAAAGTTGGAGGGTGTTTTTTTTATTTTGGGTTTATCCTCCAACATTATGTAATTTGTAGAAAGCTATGTATTGTATACATGATAGTATAATTAAATTGGTAGTTTTTTTTTTTATTATAAATTATATAGATATGTAATAGTTAAGATTGGCAAATGTACTTTTGTGCTTCCCTTTGTCTCAAGTTAACTTATATATGGAAACAAAAATTTTGATCATGTTTCGCACTTGAATTTGTTGGTTTTGGGTTGTTAGAAATTAAGCTATCATGCTTAATCAAGTGAGGGGTTGCTGAAGGTGTTGGAAAGCTGGTTTAATCATTAGACTATTTAACCGTTGGGGGTGGTGGTTCAGTGGATTATATAGGTGCTTTTCATAGGGGCGTGCAGGAGTTGTCTCCCGTGGGTGGGTTGCAATTTATCTTCAGATTTGTGCACTATATTTCAATCGATGCATAACCTCATCGTGGCGAGTGGATGAAGTCTATTGTGTGTCTCGATAAAAAAATCTCATCTTTGAAATTGGATTAAATCTTACTGGCAAGCAGTTGTCCTGGGGTTAAGGCCCACAAATGTTATGATCAAGGTTGGCTTTAGACACAAGCCGACAAAGCTGCCGCTTTAGGCCCCAGAAAATTGGCTAAAAAAAGCTACAAATTCTTATTAATTATTATATTAGACTATAAAAGAAAAATCTCACTAGAATTTAAAAGGCCTCAACAAAAATCAATTATAATTTAAAACTAATAATATATGATTGATATGATAAATTATTTAAAACTACTTGTTATTGAAAGAAACCAAAAAAAACTTATTAATATGATGAATTATTTGAAATTTTTGAATAGTTATATTCCAAATGTATGGATTATATATAGTATACGATTGATTATATTAGGGAAAATTACTTACACCTCCTTTGAGATTTAGCTAAATTACAGATTCCCCTCTAAAGTTTCAGAAATTACATCCTGTCCCTCAAGATTTATATTCGCATAACAATTTAACCCGTACCGATAACTAAACATTAAGAATAATTAGATGGGAAAATAAATAAATAAATAAGTTTTTGGAACCATGTTTGATTTGTTGTTTAGAAAAGAAAAAAAAATCAGAATTTACAAAAAAATAAAAACTAATTTAATAAAAATAAATATGAAAAAATATATTTAATTTGTAAAAATTATTTCTAACCACTCAAAAGATAAAATTATATAAAAATAATATTTATTTTTTATTTTTTATTTCTTAACCAAATTAATTTTTAATCTTTTTTTAAAAAAATTAAAAATAAATTTCTAAAAATCAAACCAACATATTCTAAGAATTTTTTGACAAATTAGTTCTTGTGTTTTTAACTTATTTAATTATTTGTTAATTTTATGATATTTTCACCATATGACATGACAACATATAAGAGTTTTAAAGACCAATTTTTTTTATCTCTAAAAGTGAAAATTTTGTTGCAAAAGACATTTAAGAACTAATTTCTATCGTCGTGAGAATAGTCGCTAAAAAGTTGCACTGAAAAGTCAAAAATAAGGCTTTTAGCGAAATTTTTTTGAAAATGTCAATAATAAATAGACTTTAGAGACAAAATAATTTGGTGTCAAAATGATTTTTTTTTTAGACAACAAATTTCATACCAAAAAGATAATAATAAATCACTAATGTTCAATTTTCATTACTAAAAATATAATAACGACACTCTTTGTAACAAAAATATTTGGTCCCCTAAAAATAATTTTGGTCTCTAAAACGTTAATTTTTTGTAGTGTGATAAGTGTTTTTCCATTTTAATTTTACATTTCATAATTTATTTAAAAATGATAATTTAGTTAAACCTCAGAGGGAAATATGTAATTTAGTTAAACCTCAAGAGGGGACAAGAACGCATTTAACAACTCTAAGAAATTAATTTATGATAATTTAGTTAATTGGTCCTGGCCTAGTATGTAACAACCCTAAGAAATGCCCTACTAAAAAATCAATTGACTAATTTAGTTAAACGCAGTTAACGCATTTAACAACTCTAAGAAATCAATACTAGGCAAGGACCAACAACATTCAAACACTTGTCAAGCAGAGGTCTAGCTACGTAAGCAGACAAACATCCTGCAAAGTTATTGCACTCACACATCAGTCATTAATGAGGCTTTCACAGCATTAAATACGATAACTCCTTCACGTCGGAGGACACAGATACACCATGAACGATACGAGCTAGAATATAGACTTTCGACCAACACGACAGTCTGGAATGGACAAAGAAATGATGAGCAAAGGATATAAGGCAGCTTCCAAAATACGTAAAAGGTTAAGTACTTCATCACATTCTCTCTCTCTTTCTCTATAATCAATCCACCTTGATCTAACTTGATCGTCGGAGTGTCTGCCGGGGGACTACCTTCCCCTTTGGGCCTTTTTGTAGGCACACACCATGGATTCCAAGGCTAGAAGACCTGTTAAAAGCATGGATAAGTCCAACCCACGTCCCCTTTGATAAACTGTATCCACAGTTGGCATCGTCTGTGGGAAGTCCACTCCGGTTAACAGTTGTGTTCATTGTTGCCGGAGACCCATCTCCCGTTACCCCTCTTTTTCTCCCGTCCAGGTGGATGGTTACAATGAGATCCATGGCTTCACAACAAAATGTCACCAACCCCTAACCCGAGCCTTCCAACCCGAACAACCCGCCTCAGTATTTCACAGAGCTCACTAACAGCATCAACCGTTTAACCAAGCAAAACTAGGCCTTGATCAATACTTTGCTCTAACAGGGTCTCCATGTCCATTCTCCACTAGCACAAGACATCCCTCCAAACCAAGAACAAACCCCAAACCATCAATTCCAACCATACGCTCCTCGAGGACCCTTTCCCCCGCCTTTCAACCCACAATCTCACCTTTCTGATTTTGAGGGTCTACAGCCTCCACCCCAGGACCTGCATCCCCCACCCCAGGGCTCGCATCCACCACATTACACTCAAGTCCCTAAAGGTGAGGCTAGCAGCGTTCAACCCTCACTTCCCTCTGGAGGAGACAGCGTTCCTGTTTGGGACGCGAAACTACGAGCAATGAAGCTCCAACTTCAGGGGGTCATGTAGAACATACAGAACAAACCCTCCACAATAGCCAACTCCCATTTTGCCACCTCCATCAGGGATAAGCCTCTACCCTTCGAGTTCAAGATGCCGTCGATCGACACTTTTGACGGCATAACTGACCCAGTCGATCATTTGGAAGCTTATAGGACCCTCATAATCCTTTATGCTTTCCCTAACGAGATCATGTGTCGAGCTTTCCCCGTAACGCTCAAGGGATCGGCCCAACTGTGGTTCAGTCAGCTATCGCCGGAGTCTGTCTCCACTTTGCAACAGCTAAGTGACTCATTCCTCAGCCATTTCATTGGAGCTCAGCATCAGCGACGCCCGACGACTTAGTTACTAAATATTCGACAAAATGACGTGGAATCGTTACAGAGCTTTGTCACTCGCTTTAATTCGGAAGCTCTCCAAGTTGAGGAGAATGACGATAAGGTCATCTTAACAACCTTCATGGTTGGCCAACGCTCGTCAGATTTCCTTTTCTCCCTCTCTAAAAATCCCCCAACGACTATGGCCACCCTCTTCGCCAAAGCCCAGAAATACATGAACGCAGAAGACTCCTTTGAAGCCCGCCAAAACTCCACACCTAAACCACAACAACCCAAAGACAAGAGAAAAGAATCGGAACAGATACATTCCCAATACCCTCATCCCGACTAACTGCCATGCTCCGACCAAGAGGCACCTCCCCGGCCACTTGGACGTTTTGAGCAGTATATCCCTCTTAACACATCCATGGAGCACATCCTAAACCAAATCCAACAACATTACAACTTGAAATGGCCCTAACCTTCCAAGTTCCCTTCTAATCGGCAGGATCAGTCCAAATATTATCGCTTCCACCACGACCATGGCCATAACATGGATGAATGCATCAATCTTAAGGATCAGGTTGAGGACCTTGTCTGTCAGGGATGCTTAACTCTGTTCACCACGCCCCGACCTCATCAAAGGGCCAGCACCGACCGACCTCTCTCAAACGGAACGATAGACGTACCCTGCCAAGACCGACCGACCAGCCCCGACGAGATGGTGATAAGGTCCAACACCAACCTTGGGCTCCAGGAGTGCTTGCTCTCCCAACAGGAGAAATCAGGGTCATTGCAGGTGGACTCGTGTACGGCGGACCATCTCGGTCGGCACAGCGGGCCGAGCTTCGACGAATTAGAAAGGGGTCAGACATGGAAGTAACAATGATCGACCAACCTCCTAAACAACCAAAGCGGTGGTTAGAACCGATTACCTTCAACGACGTGAATTGCGAAGGTGTTCAATCTCCCCATGATGACCCGCTGGTTATTTCCTCTCTTCTTTCCAACTATAAAGTTCGACGTGTGGTCACCAAAAATGGTAGTTTGTCAAACATTATCTTCCTCAATGCTTTCAAACAGCTTCAAATTGGCAAGGAAAAACTATCGCCTCTGCAAACCCCCTTAGTCGGCTTCATCGGAGACCGGGTAATTTCCATAGGATCCATCGACCTGACAATCACTACCGGCGAGCACCCAAGGCAAACTATGAAGATTCTCACCTTTCTAGTCGTCGACTGCCCTTCTGCTTACAACGTCATACTTGGACGTGCAGCACTCAATGCTTTCCAAGCTACAACTTCCACTTATCACCTAGCAATAAAATTTTCGACCGATCATGGGGTAGGCACCGTAAGGGGCGAGCAAACCGTGCCCAGAGAATGTTACGTCGCTTCGTTAAAGGAAGTAAAAATGAAGAAAGCTATAATCATTGAAGGTCTTGACGTCAGGGATGAGAAGGAATTAATAATGGGAAGAACCGGTGGAAGAGTTAATAGAAGTGCCCATCCACTCTAGTGATCTAACGAAGACGACTAAGATTAATAACTAGTTATCTCCTCAGGCTAAGGCCTACCTCACGGCTCTCTTAACTAAACACAGTGATGTTTTTGCTTGGACTCATTCAGATATGCCAGGCATCGATCATTCCTTTATTACTTATCGCCTCAGCATCGAGTCCTATTTCGGACCATTCTGCCAAAAGCAACGCATCTTCCACCCAGAGCGCAACAGCCTCATCACCGCTAAGGTAAACAAGCTATTAAAGGCTCAATTTATTAAAAATGTGGACTATCCCAAGTGG